AGGATGAACATATTTGTTGTGGTGTGTTATTAAGTTTTTATATTACTCCCCCATTTTATGTATTGTTTCCCCCTGTTCGATGTGAGATGGTTCTGCCCTCCCCCAGTTTCCCGCCATAGCCCGACTGTCCGTTAAGTTGCTATGGTAACCCCTGCCCTTGGCCTGTGTCACTCAACTAAGTTATATAATTCCTCCTCCCATTTATTCCCTTATTTGTGGACTTTCTCTCCTCCCTGGGCCCAGTCAATCACCCCCCACTCCTCCTAACTTTCCAGAATCTTCTCCTCTCTGGGGGTTGTGGTTGGCTGTGGTCCCGGGGCCCCTCCTTTACTTTGTATTTATTGGATTCCCCTTTTATGTCAATTATGTCAAGTTCATCCCCCTATCCTCCATGATTGGTTCAATGCAAACCCCTCCTTGATACACCCACTCCCTTTATAACCTTGTTTCACCCCCATTTCTTGGTCTCTCCCTGGGGATCTCCCTTCGGTTCCTCCACTGTTCCTACTCCTTGGATTTCATCTTGGATGCTTCATCAAACCGGAGTTTACCCCACTGAGAGTCCAGCTCCTTATTTCACAGCTGCACAGGTGGTGAGTCCGGTCCGTAGTGCGAGCGCAGCCCGTGGCCCTCAGACGCCAAGGGGGGCTCGCACTGAATTGCAGCAGGGTGTCGGCCTGCCCACTGCTAGCTGGACGCTGACCATCATAGGCCAAATACACCCCCGCCGCACATATTTATGGTGCTTGTGCAAGGCAGTCTACAGGACATATTGCCCCCTGGAGGGGCCTGCAGTCAAGGTAGAAGCAAGTTGAGGAATAGCTTCTTTTCAAAAAGCTTCAAATCCAGCCTATAGTGGAGTTCTTCAGTATGGAAGCCAGATAATACCTCCTTCAAAGTAAGTCCTCAAACCATGGACAGACAAGGATCCTCAGGACAAACTGAAAGGGATATAATTCCTTATTTTCTCTTACTGTACCGTGTTGCTGGTAATGTAGATTTAGCAGTGAAATACCTGTGAGTTTCCACTGAATTTCCCATAAAATTCAAAACTAAATCAGGTTGTACTTGTTTTACTTTGCTCTGTGTGTTGTAGAAAGCCTCAAATATCAGAGAAAAATAATTATCAATTAAAGGAAGCAAATTAATAAAAATCTCAGAATCTTGTCCTAGAAAGACGGGATCATAATGTCAACAGCACAAAACCAACTAACAGCTATTCTTTTTTGAAGGTCAGGCCTGTTATTTTTAGTTACACCAGAAGCATTCATTTCCTACCTTTCACCAAGATTCATCAGTGTCCTGGTTTTGCCACAGGTCTGGCTGTAAGAAAAAAGCTGGGTTACTTTGGGGTTTCCACAAAGTACTCCTCTTCCATCCTCTACTCCTGAAAAGTTATCTTTGAAAACATAACACCTTCGGAATCCACGTGTCAACCCTAGTGACTTTACACTGATGGAGTTAGCAGCACCGTATCAGAGAAATAACATTTTGTAAAAAGATCCATCAAAAGCAGGATGTGGTGTTTCATCTCTTCATCCATCCAAATCCTCAATAGCAGCATTCTGCATTTACATTCCTTCCAGAGGGCACCACAGATCCATGACAAAGCTGTTTGGTTTTTTTTCCCTTTCCGGTTATACTATTAACAAGAGATTAATTCAGAACACATAATATTCAAGCAGTTGACATTTTACCCTACACATCACTTGAAGGAAGTAAGGGTCAGAGACTGGTTTTGCTACATGAAGAAATCATGTGGATTTTCTTTATTAGTGTTCTGATTCTCACAAGATCAAGCAGCTTGATCAAACAAGCTTCAGTTATCATCCTCTTCCAGAAATGAAGCTTTTCTTCAGGAAAACACATGATTTGATAAGGAATTTTACAACATTTCAGAGTGCACAAGGGCTGGCATGTCTCTTAGGAACTTGACAGACTGCGATAGATTCCACTTACAATTTTACACACATGGATATTTACAGAAACTTCCCTGCATCTCTTTCACCTTTGAAATTCCTATTGAGTTCATCTGGGTTAACTTGCCCAAATTAGCAAATTTATGCCTCTCACTCTTCATTCTTCCTGTACCCTTTGTTTTCCCCTCTGCAAAAACGGTGTTGCTTCAAACTTTTACCAGGTCTAGCAAAACCAACCAGATCTGGCATTAATCACAGAATGACAGAGTTTGGAAGGCACCTCTGGAGGTCCTGTGGTCCAACCCCTGCTGCAGCAGAGCCATTTGGAGCTGGTTGCCCACGACTGTGTCCAAATGGCTTTTGCAGATCTCCAGTGGGGGAGATTCAACAAACTCTCTGGGCAACCTGAGCCAGCGCCCGGTTATCCTCACAGGAAAAAGGGTTTCCTGATGTTCAGAGAGCACAGCCTGTGTTTCAGACTGTGGTCACTGCCTCTGGTCTGGTCTCTAGGCACTACCATGGAAAAATATATAGACAGGTCAGATTTTTACCATAATTAAGAAAAATACAAGAATCAGCCCCATCCTAGCTAAAAAATGCTGATGTTAATACTTTTTATCTGGCTTGCTAATGAAATGAATGTTGGTCATTCACACTGTCTGTTCTTTCCTGTGGAAACCCTGGGAATATTTCTCTGTCTGCTCTGGGGTGCCCTGACCCCCAGGGGAGCACTGACTTTGACCCTCTGGAGAAAGCTTCCTAGACTTCAAGATAGACTAGAATCCACAAAAGTATGAAATAGATTATAGAGAGTAGTGTACGTCTATCACTTGGTGAGAAATTTAGGTTTTGGGATTTTTAGTACGTTGTGGATGGAAGCAAGATGGAGGGTACAGGGTGTCATCCTGAGTTTCTTCTTCATGCTTCTTCTTCCTTCTTCTTCTTGGGTTTGGGTGGCATTTTGTAATTGAGCAAAAACTATGTGGTGCAGGCTTTTTGGGATCAATTATTGGGTTAAAAGGGAAAATAATCTAGGTGTCAGTTCTTAATTGGATAGTTTAGTCTTAAAAGACCTTGTAACAAGAGATTGTTAGCCATTTTGTGCCTTCTAATGAAAAGTTGCCAAACTCAGAGTAGTGAGACTGTTTTACTGATAAGAAATAATAAACACTTGAGTCCAAACACAAATTACTGTCTCAAGTGCCTTCAATGCAGACCCAGAAAAACCAGTGACTGGTACCCCCACAACTGGTGCCCCGTGTGAGCAGTTTTCTCTTGAGTCTGTCAGCCATTTTCACTACATTTAGAGCCCTGTGCACAGCTTCAAAGACAAGTAAAAACTTAAGAATGTTTAATCCTTCAAACTTAAAATTGTAGAGGGACAGAGAGGCTCAGATTAATGATTCATTAGGACAAATGACAAGCAGAAGATGGCTCTTTTGTCTCCTTGCTCTTTTGGCAGTAACTAACTGCTGGTGTATCACAATACCCAGACCTTTGAATCAATCACAGGCTGCCATTTCTTGCCTGACCTTGTAAATGGAATTACTACGGCGTTAACACAGGCAAAGGCCAGGCTTCATTAGTTCTGGAGCCCATGGGATGTACCCTCTTTTTGTTGCAGTATTTGCTTCTCAGTATAGAATTAAACTGTACTTGCCTTAATCTAAGACACTTCTGTCACAGGGTAATGAGTTTTGGTCCTCATATACTATATTGCACTGTGTTAAAAATGGTGCAAAAAGAGTGCTTAAACAAAGCTATAGTAAATACATGCAAAAATACCAGTCCTCTCTAATAATATAAGCAACCTTAGATGAAAACATGTTTGAATCTAGAAACAGTCTGCCCGCTCTAGGAGCTTATGCTAATTGGCCACATAAAAAGCTGTTGGGCTGTCTCTCAGAGCACATGTAATTAATCAAGAAATAACAGATTTTTCTGCTGCTTTTTAAGAGGGAAGGATGCAGAATAAAATGAGAAGTTGTCTCCTTGCCCCTTTCATGCTAATTAATGCATTCAGAAGCCGAACTGAAAGGAATTTAAACTCGTGATAGTCATAAGAGGACAGATCAAAGGAGAAAAAAACAGACCAAGTAACAGAAAGCTGCATATGCCTTCAGTTAACAGACAGAATACAGGTCTGAAGGAGGTAAGATTTATATTTTTCTTTTCACACAAAGTTTTCAGCTTTGTTTAAAAATTATGCTTTAGAAGAGGCTTGACTGTCTCTAAGTGAACTCAATATGCTTTATTTCCTTGGCTAGAATTATCTTCAGTAAAGTCATTGTGTTTCCTAATTTACTTGTATAGTGTGGGTAGATTAGTGGGATACAGTCAAGTAGGATCTGTTGTGCTCTTCACATTACAGAAACATGATTATGTGAGGATTTATTCTTCACTATATTTGATTGAATAGATTTTTAACTGTTCAGACAGCTGATTACCACCTTAAGATTGGGAATATTTGTAAATTGAATTTGAAAATTGTAAATAAAATTACAATTTTATTTACAATAAAATTAATTACTACACATCTGAATTTAGATTGTCAGCAGACATAAATCAGTATTCCCATCTGAAATTCAACAGATGTCTGAGAGTGTTCAGTGACTGAAAACCTATTTCAGAGTGTTTACAGGGAATTACAGAATAGAAAAACAACTATTGTTAGGATCAGTATTATTTTTTCTTCTAAATTGTTTTTCTTGTCCAGGAAAATTGCCTTTTTTTCTATTTTCTCAATTTTGCTTTAGAAATCTGCCATCGCATGGTACCTAAACAGACCACATCAAATTCTGCAAACTCTGTTACACTCAGTTGCAAACACCTTGATGTCAGTGATGATACTAATACGTAGACTTATGGTTATGGTTTTGAGCTTTATCCTAAATTGGGATTTAGTTGTGTGTGTATAGGAATCTACTTGATTCTGAAAATACCAGATTATCCTGCCTCTCTAAAATGCTCCCATTAAAACAAAGAAACTGAAAATATTAAGCTTCAATGGTACCAAATTATTTATCACACTGACACACTGTGTTTCTACCCTGTAGGTTTTAGCAGGACCAACCTCACAAAATGCCCAGAAGATATAACCACCTGGACAGCAACCACTTTAGAGGCAAAGGACATGTCTACTTCGCAGTGGAAGAGTAAGTGTAAACTAAAACCTATGTTAGCATGTAAGCTGGTGAAAGAATTTGTATTGAAAGAAAACCAGAAAATAGTATCAAAAAAATTTACTGTTGTATATAAATGGAGTGCCTTTTAACTATCTTATAGGTCTCTCTAATGGTTGTCAAGGGGCGACCTCAGAGAGCCATCAATGATATGAAAAATCAGAATTGCAGAATTCAAGAATCTAGAGTTAAATAATATGATCACAAGTCATCAGCCTTTACCAGGTTTATTGAGGTTTATTTAGAATTTACTTTTAAGACTGTTGCAAGGTGATCTGTACCCTAAATCTCTAGAATCACAGACCTCTCTTAGGAACCTCAAAGAGACATTTTCTCACCCTAAAGAATGGTGGAAACTCCCCAGAGAAATGGTTAAAAAAAAGAGCAAAACATCAGTGGCATACAAACATGATTCCCAAATTGTTTCTGCCAAATATTTTTTATCTTTGAATTACAATAAAATACATTTGGTCTGGGATTATTAGAGACACCACCCAACTGGTGATGTTTTACTACATAAGGCAAGTAATTCCATTGTGCTAGTACTGGCTTACTGGGCCCCAGACTTAATGACTTGTTGCAAATATTCATACTGCCAGATAGCTGCTCCTCCATCAGCCCTGGCAAAAAGAATAAAAAAAAGGGGAAAGTTCTCTAATAGTCCATCCAAAGCAGTTCAATTCTTAAAACAAAAAGAAAAAGCTGGCTAGTCATGTCTCAGCACTTGAAACTAGGCATGCTCACCTCTAACTGCTGTGAATTCTAGTGGCTGCATCTGTAAGTAGTTTTTCTAGTTATGTGACCCTCTCCTTCCAGTACCAGAAGTATTCTAGATATGAGCCCTAGATTCTTAGCGGCACAACTTCAGCTTTAACTGGAACAGCAAGAAATTGCATACACACTTTCCATACTAGCCTGTGAGTAGTTAGGGAAGGAGTTAGATGGCAAATGTGCAGTCAGAAGCACCAGCTCCAGAAACACATCCTGGGTTTTCTCCTAAATTTGCCCTAAACCAGGACAGGGACATACAGGCTAATGGACAGCTAAAACAACACGTGACAAGCAAGAAGTCTAAAAATGTAGAGAGGGCACCAGTTGCCTGGAGACGTAGTCCCTCCAAGTTTCAACTGTGCCGGCAAGAGCAGGAAAACCAGCGGAGCCATCTCACAACTTTGGCTGCATCAGAAAGTGACTGCTGTGAGCTCTGTCTATGTTAGACTGGGTTTATCCTGATTCACATAGCAGTTTTTCCCCATACTCTTTTCCCTTTAATCATTTCATATATTCTTCTGTTCCTGAACAGGGAAAGAACAAAAAAAATGGGGAATGAATTCAGTATTTCTCAACAGGGAGGATATTAAAATTAAAGGAAGGCTTTTTGTGACTAGGAAATTTGAAATTACTTTGTCAGCTTGCTTTTTTGATCTAAAGTGGAAATGTGCTGCTTCTGCCAAGTCCCCAGGAAGCAGTGAGGGAAGGGTGTTTTAGAGCACAATTTGCAAAGCATATTTTCCCTAAAATGACCCAGTGATGGCAACAATGTGCCTGCTATGTCATGCAAGAACTGAATCCTTATAAAGCTTTTACGAATAATTCAAAGATTCTTACTCATGTTTTAAGGTTGCAATGTGTTTTATGCATCAAAAAAAAAACTTCCTTCATTAGAAGTTGCTGCAATATGATGCAATTAGGATACATTTTAAATACTTGCTGCCCAAAGAAATTTAGCAAAGAAACATGAGCTGCATCATTGCAGATGTAGCATTTAATTTAATTCACATTCACTTGCAATATCACAATGCTGTGATTTGAGAGACTTACAGACAGGTATGTTTTTGGAATTAGTAGTCACTGGTAGATAATTATTTTCAAATAAATATATTTTTAAAATGTTTAAGAACTTGGTAGAGAAATTAGCTAACAGCTTAATCTATAGAAACTAAATGAAGTTATTAATACTTTGCCTATTTTCTGAGGTAAATTCTGCTCCAAGACTTCCTCTGATAAAAAGTTGCTGACACAAACTTTTGGTCTAACCATACTTTCTCTTGGGAGGATGCATCTAGTTGTGCAAATTTTGTTTTGCTTTCCCAACAGAGCTCTGGGTATTGGGCTTTTCATTTTGGTGCTGGCAATTTTACTTGCCTTTGGCTGCTGGTATTACAAAAAACGTAGTGGCTACAAAAGTCTGCGGGTAAGTGTGGCAGCTCATTTTCTCTCATGCTATTATTTTGACAACAAATTACCTTGATTTGCATGACAATAATGCAGAGAACATCACATCTGTAAGAGGACATCACTATCTCAAGCAGTATTTACACTGATATATGTCACAGACAAAACCACATACGAAATACAACCTGCCCCAAAGAACATGCAAGTCAGACAAAGGGGTAAGAAGAACCAGAAGCAAAGGGACATGAAACCAGTTGCCCAACTTTGCACAGCACATCAGTAAAAAAACTTACCTGTAAATTTTGTAAGATCAGTAAAAAAAAATATTTGTAGAAAGCATTCTATTTATATTTACACAAAACGAAGAGACATCCAGTGTCCTTTCATTTAAATAAAAGTAATATATTCCCTGTTCATAAGATTTAGCCCTAAATAAGGGGTAAATTAGAGTAAATCTAGGAAGAAGAGAAGAAGAAAAATAATTGTAAAAGTAAGTAAATACGCTCACCTATGGGTGATGTGAGATTCATCCATGCAAAATTTGATTTGCAATTTTAAGATTTACAAAAAAGTGGGACGGGTTTGAGATTTGTTTTCTAAGACTACTTTAAAAATATTTTCATCTGTGTCTTCTTAGAAGCTATTTAAAAAAAAAAGGTACAATTTGTCTCATAACAACTGCTGTTAGAAGTTCCAAAGCTTTATATTTTAAGTTTTGCTCCATCTCCTATGAAAGGGATGTCTTTTTTAATTCTTTAAAGTGAAAGCTTGTTATGGTTTAATCCCAGACAGCAATTAATCACTGTGTAGACACTTGCTTATTTCCCACTGCCACCCTGGTGTGAAGGAGAATAGGAAAGAAAAGGTGAACTTCATGGGTTAAATTAGAACAGCTCAGTAATTGAAACAAAATATAATCATCTACTACTAATGATCATCATAGTGAAAAGGTGAGAAAGAGAGGACTAAAACCCCAAAGGAACAAGTGATGCCCAAAACAGATTCTCACCACCTCTAACTGATGTCCATTCCTGAGCAGCAGTCAGCCCCTCCCAGCCAAATCCCTTATTTTTATACTGAGCGTGATGTTCTCCAGTGTGGAATGTCCCTTTGGCTAGTCCAGGTCAGGTGTCCCAGCCATGAGCCCTCCCTGTTTCTCTTGCATCCTCTCAATGGCAGAGCACGAGCGACTGAAAAGTCTCTGACTTAGAGCAAGAGCTACTGAACAAAAACCAAATAATCATTGTGTTACCAGCATTAATCTCATAAAGAATGATTAATCCAAAACAAAGCACTGTACCAGCTGTTTAAAAGAAAATGAACTCTATTCCAGCTGAAACCAAGACAAAGCTTTAGGCAAATACGTGTCTTACAGTATCTTTTAGTTAACCTAATATTTTGAAGGAGATATAAGTAACTGTTTGCAACTAAAAAACCCAGCAAAGGTCTCATTTAAGTCAGCAAATCCATTTCCTTGCTCTTTCTGGTAACTTTGTATCAGTCTTTTTCTATCCAATTATCCAGTTATCTATCCAATACATATATCAACCAGCAAAATACCTAAAAGCTGAACTTTCATAGAGAAATGTTGCAAAAAATGAAGGTAATACTCAAAAAACCCCTTCAAAAATCAAACCAAATGTCTGTTTTGCACATCCTGGCAAAAAGCATAATCTGTTTTTTAATTCCTTCTCATGAGAGATTTCTACTTTCTGGTTTTGAAAATCAATTTTTTCTTAGGCTATTTCTGGCTAGGGAAGAACTGGTACAGAATGTGTACAAAAGAAATGCTGAAAAAATGGAAAACAAAAAGGTTCAAGATTAAGGAAAGGAATAGCTGGCATAAAAAATAGGAGGCATTTGGGTACATGAGATGTCAGTTCCTGCATCAGTCTGAAAAATGCGGTACTTATTTTTCTGTCAATGTAGTTGGATTACACAGAAGAGAGAACGTATGTCTCAGCAGAGACAGCAAAAAGTGTTAGGTGAGGTATCTTTCCTACTTGCATTGTGTCTAATCCCAGATTCTAATACTTACTGTATATGTGCTGTCAAATTTTGCTCCAAATTCACAATCTCTTCTACCTTTCACCTCCCCCATATTTCTCTATGATCTGTCACAGAGCAAAAGCTCTAGTGTGAGCACAATACGACGCGTGGTAGGTGAGGGAGAAATACTGGACTGCAAAATGGCTCTGCAGGACTACAGAGACTTTAATTCTGTGGTAAGTTGCAAGTCAAGAACTCACTTAAAACTGAATAAGACATGGTAAGATAATATTGTTAAATAGACACTTGATGATTTCTCCCATGGTGTATTTTCTCATACTTAGAGTCTTCCATGCTTCAATATCAACTTAGAAAGTAGTATCTGGAAAAATTTGTACTGTGAAAAACTAAAGAAAAAAATTACATCTACTATTTAGAATGCTTACTTCAAAGTTATTGTCTTCAATTTATATTTATTCTTAAGTTGTATGATCATTTTGCAGTCTAGTAGAATGATGCAACACCTGAATGCCGAAATATACTGAAAAACCCCAAACATCTCCCTAACTGATTTTCTACCATTCAGACAAACAACAAATAAATTGTGTCTGTACACACTATACTCTGATAAGAATTATCAGAGAATATTATAAAACTTCAATGTGTTAGCTCTTCTAATCATTACAGAAAGATGATTATATTTAAACTTTCGATTTTCAAAAAGGTAAATTAAGTGATAAGTATATATAAATGGGTGTGTTTAAATTGCTTTAGAATTGAGAAGAGGCTAACCTCTTATTTAAAATAAGCTGCTCAAATTTTTATCACTAGAAATACAATAATATGCCTGCATCAAGACTCTTAAAACCTTCAATATTTGTCTGAATTATCAATCTAAAACCACTCCATACATATAAGAAAATTATTCCTGCCTTTTTAACATTGAAAATTCTCTCTTTGGATGAACAACAGCAATAAAGTGAATCTGATGCAAAACCAGAAAACATACTACCAAAAAGTAACCTTAAAAAATAGACACAATGAATGAGCTTGGCTTCTTTAAGTCATAGAACTGTATCTAATATGGTGGTAAATAGCTTGCTGTGTGTTTAAGGTAATTTTCTTGTAATTTTCCTTATAATTCAATTGGGATTTTTTTTTTTGATCTTCCACATCCATTTTCCTTACCACAGGTACCTGATGCTCCACCAGCTTATGACAAAATTGCTGCAGATCAGTCACCACCACCTTATTCACCATAATAAGATGAAATTTGAAACCATAAACATACTGATTCCATTTACTCATGCTTGCTCTTTATTTTCTGTCTATGCTTAACTTCCTTAAAGCTACGATCATACAAAAGAAAAAAACATGTCTTCATCAGCAGTTGCTGAAAACTATTCCTGCCTTATTTACAGAACTGGTCCTTGAAATGCCTTAATAAATCTGAATGTGCTTTTGTTTTAAGCTTTTCACTTCTTGCAGTCAGATGAATACATTATTCAAGATGACTAGACATTATGGTCTAGTCATCTTGAATCCTTCACAGGTCTACATAGATCTGCAGTGACACACTATTCAGTATCAATCGGAGTAAAAAGTGACAGCACCTTTGTCTTCATCTTTCCCTTTCTTTAAAAAAAATAAAAAAAATCCCCAAAAAACCAAAACAACTACAGACACACACAAAAAAACCCCACCAAAAAACAAAATCAAAAAACCCCAAACAACTATTCCTTAGAATGTAATGTAGAACAATCTGTCACAAAATGAACCAAACAATTTGACTACATGTCCTCTTACAAACAGTTTTCCTCACCAGCAGTTTTAAAATCTACTTCCAAAAAGTGACAATGTTTTACAACACACTTTAACCTCACATCACTTGTTTATGTACTTGTAATGAATTAATTCCTTATAAAACACAATCAATGTAGGCAACTTGGAGTCCATATTATTTCATGCTGCAATGGATATAATGACATCATCTTTCAATTCCTTGTGGCAGTCATGTGAGAGAGCAAAAGAACTTTGTAAATCTAAAGACTTACATGTAATTTCTTTCTAATATGATGAAACTATTTAAGAAAATGCACAAAAAACATGTTTCTTGAAGAATACAGAATACAGCAGACTCCTAGATGTTAATTTCCCAAGCTTGCCAGAACTAGCAGTAATAAAAAACTAAGGATTTTGATATGCATAAACTAGCTACATACATTTGATAGTTACTCTTTACTCAGCCTTTTTGTTATTGCTTGCTTTCCAGATTATTACTTAAGATTATATGCAGGTCAATAAATTTATACACAAGGCCTAATATCTCACAAGAGGCAGCTAGAATGGTACAACATTCATTAAAATCAAAAGTAGTTACAGAAGAAAACTGATTTAATAAAGCAATTATTAACTGCTATTAGTAAAGAATCTAGTTCTTTGTCATGAAATACACCAATACAAAAACATTAAAACAAAATAAGTTATCAACACAAGGCATGGGTTATTTGCCTAACATAAACTCCATTTGTGTTGACAAATAATAAAGATGGGTTTTTTGAAATGTTTCTTCTGTAATAAAAACGTTTATATAGATTAAAATTGTTGGAAAGTAATAAATATCAGTAATTGCTGTGAAAGGCTAGAATCCATCCATATGTCTTTACAAACTTAATTTATATATTTATTTAAAATATAGAGATGTATTTTTAGAGACTTATTTTTGAATTTTAACCTAAAAAGCTGCTTACCTGTGTCATTTCCAATATCTGCCTGTCAGGAAAAAAATTGTGGAATTATTTAGCAACAGGAAGAAGAAAACACAGGAAAACATAAAAAATGCTATCTTATAGCTAGTAAGCACTAAAGATGTCAAACACAATGGCCAACTAATTTTCTTGCAGGACTGGTAAGCTAAAGCTTGGTGCTGATATTTTTAGCAGCTCAGCACACAGCATTTCTCTACTCTAGGGCAGCTTCCTTTCAAAAGACTGTAGCACTACAGTGGAATAGAATTGACATGCAGTCATTTTCTCATGTCTGAGAAAAAAATCAATTAAAAAATTAATAGAGATTATTTACTATGAAGAAGTGCTTAGAGTTCAAAAAGCTTTACTTGATTGCACACATTTTTAGTAGTGTCAGAATTAAATATATTACCAGATGTTGCAAAAGCTCATGAAGAAGTTAACACTGATGAAGTAGGAATATTAATTTGTTTGTCGGACTATGTAAGGCTAAATTGTTAAAACTCCTCAGCAGCCTGAACTGCAACAATTAAACTTTGAGCTGAATTTATAGATACTTAAAGGATAGATAAGCCCTCCTGGAACCTCAAATTTTTACATTACTTATTTTACACAAAAAGTATTTGACTCAAAGGCAGCTGCCTTAGATTTCTAATGAACATTCTAGAATGCCTCCATTGCTGCCAAAATCTAGCTCTTCTAGATGTTTTGTCCACATAGATTTTACTCTTGTGCCAACACAAAAGACATTTTTGGGGGTAGTGGTGTTCCGAACTGCCTTGTGCTCACAGCAATATGAAGAAGAAAGGCTCATCCATCTTATCCTCATCCACCATGAACCATCTCTCAAATCCCATCGGATCGCAACTCACAGTGGAACAGATTGCCCAGAGAGGTTGTGGAGTCTCCCTCACTGGAAATATTCAAGGACCATCTGGAGCAATCCTGTGCAATGCGCTCTGGGATGATCCTGCTTGAGCAGGGAGATTGGATGAGGTGATCTGCTACGGTCCCTTCCAACCTAACCCATTCTCTGCTTCTGCGATTCTATGACATTTATTCATCAAAAAAGAACCAGAGACTACTGGGCCATATTTAACTAGAGAAAAAAGGACAGAATTTATAATCCATTGTGACAACACTATTGACATTAGATGCCACAGTTACTGCCTCCTCTTGTTTCCCTAGAAAGCTCTTCGCATGGGATAGCTGCAAACTCCAGTCTTGGTGGATTAACATGGGTGAAAATCTGAACAATGCTTAAGCAGCACATGTGCCTTCACATTTCCAAACCATTTTAGTACAGCCTCAATTAGATGTTTGGACCACAAGCTTTATTTGCTCCTTTCCTGAGAAATACATCACATGAGTTAAAATCAGTACAAGAAAAGAGTGATGGCCTAATATAAATACTTCAGTCTTTCAATACTAATTTTGTGAAGTTTTTTCAACTCCACTAGCTTCCATCTCTGGATGGGAGAAACCGAATTCTCTGCTGCACGATTGCTAAGTTCTCTGCATACACAGAAAAGCAGCCTTCCTTCTTCACAGTTCTTTTTTTTAATTTACCTTACCACCATCTTGTAGCTATAGGGGGAAAGATCTGACTCATTTTTGTTGAAAATAAGTTTCTTAAGAAAAAGGTGTCATCTTCCAAGTTCTATCAATTTGTCCTTTCCCACCCACCTTGGCAAAAGTAATTGATTTCTATTTCTCCATAGCACCATGTACACCTCAACTTACTGCTTCTGACATTCTGGAGCAAAAGAGTGGCCCTTTTTGGACATAGTTCAGTGCTAGATTTGATTCTGCAGGAAGAATTTTAGGATGGTTATCTGGAAGCTATAAAAAAGAAAAACCTTAGAACTGCCTCAGAATTTGCATTAGAACAAAAAAAAAAGATATGGTAAGTGCGACTATTCCCTGACATTAACATCCTGTAGAGAAATCCTTGCAAGGATTAAAAGGTGTCAGGTGTCTACCTTGTTATAAATTACTCCAATTTCTCTATCTCCAGAAAACTCAACCTGAACATTTTTGGTATCAACACAGATTTAAGGAGCTTGTCTTTTTTACATTCATAATTCCCAGGATATGCAGCCCACACGATCTTCACTTCCTGGATTTTGGCCCCATTAACAACTTCAGTCAACTCCTCATTCAAACCTTCTGCCATTGAACACAATTCATGCATCGCTCCTTACAATAGATCAGCAGTTTTATGCTTTTATATCACTGTTACTGCTGCTCTGCCTCTCTGAATTACTGCTCACATTTTTGCAGCACCTGATTCTTTGGCTGCAAAATCTGCCCTTTCATGTTACAGACAAGCTCAGGCTGAGTTCACACAATTTTGCTGGAATTATTCTTGGCACCGTGTATACATATTGAGAAAATTAACTCATACTTGATCTATTTCTTAATTCTTTCCACTAAGCATTGCCTACTGGCCACTACAGCGAGTGAAACACCCAGTCCAAGGTGCAGCTAATATACAAGGATAGGTCTGCTGCACCAGCCACACCCCTTGCATTTCATTTGCCTAAGTAAAAAAATTCACTTTCAGACATGGGCTCCATTTTAAAAAATGTATTGGTTTTCCATACATTTCTTAGGCCATGGAGGAGGGAAATACTTCAGATAGGTCTCTCCCACTTTTTGTTCTTCTATGATCACATTGTAAAAACCACTCTACTGGCAAGAACAATATTTTGAAGGCATAACGTAGTTGAACTGTAGAATACTGTCCAGACACGCCTCAAACAAATTACTGCAATTTTAGTATTGGTGTGTTGCTAATACGAATTGTAAATGTTCTTTAAAAATACATGCACACAATTCCTCCTTCTCAGTAGTAAAAATTTATTATAATATTAAAAATCTCAACTTTTAATATTGTGTAAATGGAATCCATCATGATACTACTCTTCCTTTATTATAAGGAAGACACCCTGTGACTACATAGTAATACTCAGTCACCAATTCCTCTGTTATTCAATTTCACTGCTGCATGTGATTAAAAAAAAGAATGAGCAATGATTCCATAAATAGCAGCATGTTATGAAGGCAGATCTCAATGTATATGTTGGTACCAGATGGCAATGACCAATTGACAGCCAAAATAGTCTGATTTTATCCTTATTTATTCATTCTTGTGTATTTATCCTTGAGATGGAATCAATATGAACAACTAGTTAAATAAGTATATTGTCTTCTTTTTATGACATCGGTATTGAAAAGCAAAGTTCTAAAGCCTGAAGACAATCAAAAAATCACAGTTGTTTCTTTACTATCTTACTTCTCTTTGCTGTTTAATTTTTATAAATGCTATTTTTCAATGTTCCTCACATTCCTGAAAATAACTGCATTTTCCAAATATTTTCTTCATTGTAAAAAGTGAGAATAGGGGAAGATAAAGCAGCAATCTAGGTGTCTAACCTTTAGTTATGGATGGGAAGCTGGAAGAAGTCAGGGGACCAAGGATTCTATTCCCAGTTTCTCCATGTTGCTATGAG